GAAAAGCACATATGGACATTGTTCAATATGCTTTTCAATTAGTTCTCGAAAAGCGACAAAAATGTGTGAGTATCGTTTGATTGTATCGCAGTCTGTGTTTCATTGGCATGTGACCGGATTCGCTTACCAAATTTCGGTTGATCCTGTACTTGTATATGTTGTTGCATATTCTGTTCTGAATAATCTTTTGTTCATAAAGGTTGAATTCTTGTTTCAGGTTCTATTGCAGAATTATTGATAAGCTTTCTCCAACTATAATATGACTGGAAAGAATGATAAAATAAAAAGAGATCATTGTTATAAATGTATGCCAAGAGAAAATGAAATTCTTATTCAATTGTAATATATATATAACTGGGGAAAATAATATAAAGAAAGAACACTGTTATAAATATATGACTAGAGAGAATTAAATTCTCTTATTATATAAAATCTAGATAAAATTTTAAAAATAATAAAAATTTAATTGAAATATCGGACAACATGTTATTGAGAGAAATTTCTTGAGGCATTAACAAATGAGATTTTATGTGTGGAATTAATGGTGATCGATGAAAATAACATTTATTATAATTAATTTTTTATAATTATATATTAAATATATTTTTCTAGTTAAAAATTTATATGTTGTTGCACGGGATTCTATAATATCCTAATCGCAATCAATAGAAATTGAACCGTGTGCATTATCTTACTGATATCATGACGATGAGACAGATCTGTTACGTGATTGTTCCAATGTGTTTTTTTCGATATTTCTAGTTAATTTTTTCTTGTTTTTAGTCACAGCGCTTACTTGTATTTTATTTGATGAACAATTCTGACAGTGAAGTTATTCCATGCTAAAAAAGATGTCATTCGCAATATCAACGAATTACTAGAAAAATGTAATTTTATTCGGTAAGTAAATAATAAAATTCATTATAAATCTTAAAACTTCTTTCTATGGTTTTCGATATAAAACATTGAGTTTAATTTTTATTTGATCAATTAATAATGTAGTTTTTTTTTATTTAGCGCTTTAAATCATTCACCTATTAAATCAAGCGTTCGTTGACTCTTTTATATCATACATCATCTGTTAACAATTATTATTCATAATAATTTGGGTAATAGCAACATATAATCATTGTTTTACAAAATATATTATTATTGCAATATTTATATATATATTTTGAACTCGAGTTATATGTTTTTTTAGAATAAATTGATTAATCAAATCGAACTAATTTGATTAATTTAGATAACATATACAAATCAATTCACACACACTATAGTATCATCTATAATAGTCTTTTTATTTTCAATTTTATTTCAGTTTATATTGGTGAGAGTTATTGGCGATTGGAAATTGGTCTCAAAAATGATTAACAATTATTGTCGGGAAAACTCACTTAGAAAAATGTATAAACATGAGATATCACAGCAAATATATTTCTTAATTGTTCAAGTCCTTTTTTATGAATTTATTTTTTATATCATGAAAGTGTTTGCCTCCTATGTGTTTGTATCGCATGCGATACATACTAAATTGAAAAGCATTATATTTTATGAAATATTTCGCGCTTGGGTGTGAAATAATTCACTCAAACATTTTGATACTTATTACAATGTGAAAATGGAAAAAAATACACATGTATATATATATTAAAATTTTTTATTTATATGTAACATGCCAAATGCACCTTTATTATCTTTATACTTGAAGCGCAGCTTTAGTCTTCTCTTTTTATGATATTTTTCATTTTCTACGTCGACATATACTAAACATCTGACTATTATTCTTTGTATGTTATTTGTATAATTATGGCTTAGCAAGATACAATTTTCAGATCTATCAAGCTTAGACCTTTCTATCTTTTTAACGTCATTTTTTAAACTAAATTTATTAATAATGATAATTACATGTGTATGTTCTTTTGAAGACAATTATTCATGTAATACACGTTTATTTTTTTTTTTTGCATGCAAAAACCCATAATCATTGCAATTTGTAATCTATTATCGCATTTGCTTATCGTCGTACAGTTATATTGCGTGTTGCATAATTGCGATTGATCGCTACCCGCACTCTCCTACCTCGGTGGTAGTTTTAGTTGGTGAAATTACTATATCTGCGATGAGAAGAGGGGTGCGCATTACGAAGTTAGACTGACAATAAGAGATTCGATCGCGCATTTGTTTTGAAAAATCGAGTCGCTTCTCGTCGCTCCACCTCATCGGGAAAAAAACAGTAATGTGCACGGTCGATCGGAGTGATGGTTCAATGCAACGTTACGCGCAGCTATGATGTTGACGAGTACCGTAAGCCCGTTACTGAAGATCGGTCTCAGTGTGATCGGGTTGTGGCCCGGTTCCTCGAACGGGACGTTCTACTGGCTCTTTTACATGACGACCCTCATAATAATGCAGTACTTTCAATACTCGTACGTCTATGAGCATCTAGACTTCAACAATCTGACCAAAACTAATGGACGGTCTGGGTCTCACGTTGGATTACAGCTTGACGATCCTGAAGCTGATCAGTCTCTGGTTCATCGCCGGTAAGACCAGCTCGGCGATCGCTGATAATGTCTCGAGGGAGTTCTATCATTCCATGAGATTCTCGAGAGATCGAATTGTAGAATATTCGTGGACATTCTGGTGGCGATGGACGACGATTGGAAAAATCGCGTGACCGATTTGCACGAGTGCGTGATGACGGACAAGGCTAATCTGGCACATCGTTGCTCCAGCGCCATAATATCCGTCAATGCCATAGCCACCGTTCTTTACTTCATCGATAGCCAGGTACGTCGCCGGAAAGTTTCCGCGGACGGACATCGGGAGTTTCCGATTCAGGTACTGTTTCCATTCGAGACCCACGAGACGCCGATTTACGAGTTCCTCCTTCTGGGACTGTTCTTTCATGTGTTAGAAACGGCGACCGTGGTCGCGATACTGAACTCTTTGATTTTAACGCTGGTAAGTTGAAAAAAAAAACGAATGTTCCTACTAAACATTTTTTAGCTAAGTTCTTCTGATGGATTATTGACATTTTTTCTGACGAATTGATATTCTCGTCGAATCTTGCTTGAACGCGTTGCTTAAGAGCTTATTTTCTTTTTTCTTTTACTTCGAGGTGCTTCACGTAAGCGGGCAAATCGATATCATGTGTCAAGAGTTGAAAGAGATTCCTTCCACATTCAAATCTAAGGTATTCTCCACCAAATCTCTCATCGAGAGACACCAGAAGATTATAGCATTGTCTAATAATATCGAGAATTACTTCTCGTTCATTGCTCTGATACAATTTATATGGAACAGTTTTGTCATTTGCGCTATAGGATTTATGGTCGTGATATAAGTAGTAAGATTATTTTAGTTATTATATAACAATAACAAATTCTTCAGTTTTTTTCTTATAGGATTTAATAAAATGATTTTAAAATTATTTGGAATTATTATCATATTAATTTTATCTAACTACAAATATTATATTTTAAGAATTAATTATAATAATTTTTTTACGTAAAACGTATAAAAGATAAAATACATAATTTGTTTAAATTATGTAGTTTAAATTAAATATTAAAAACGAAAATTTCAAAGCGAATAAACTAGATCTTGCGATATTTAAAATATATAAAAATACTTTGAAAAGGACATTTTTTTTCAAATGCATATTATTTTATATTAAAAGCCATGATTTTTAAATATCCTATTATATCTTAGTCCTTAGGTATGAATACAGAGAGTAAATCCGGGATTTTTATACAATTTGTCATACCATATCTCGCAGTAACTATAGAAGCTTTCGTCTTTTGTTTTGCTGGCGAATATTTGAGTACCAAGGTATATTTTAGCTTTTACCTTTATCCGAACAAGCGCAACGCAAATGCATCTATGTATTTCAAATAATCTATAGCCTTTTACTCTTTTCCAGAGTAGATCCATCGGCGATGCGGCGTATGAGGCGGTTTGGTATGATTTATCTATCAGCGAATGCCGAATTTTATTATTCCTGATTTTGAGTCGCAGAAACGATTGACGATCACGGCCGGAAAAATTATGGATCTAACATTGGAAAGTTTTACTAGTGTAAGTTTGTTGCGTGATACCTTTCTTACGATAATTTATTATAATTGTTAAATAAATATTGGGAGAAATAATATTTGACACAATTTCCAAGAAATATATATCGCGTTAATGATATTAGACTTTGAAGAAGTATTCCTCTTAGTGCTTTTTTGTATGCATAAGAATTTGCTTTTTTAGGTCATGAAAGCTTCGGCTTCGTACATTTCAGTTTGCACGCAATGTACTGAAACCTGTATGTCAAAATGTATGCTGGTCATATATGTATACTGTCGAATTATGTCTCAAATAAAATAGTGAAACATATTTACTTGTAGAAAGAGAAATGAATAGAGATAAAGAGAAATAATTATTAGTATTAATCTTGCATTTCTTCTTTAAATACTAAAAATTTTAATTATCTTGTAATATCTTTATATTATGTTGCCTTTTTTTAATCAGATGCAAGTAAGATAAAAAATTACAAATTCACTTCGATAAATATCGAGAAATAAAATTGTGTTGTAATTCACAAGTGAGATTTTAAGGGACAGATATATTTTCTTCTATCGAGCACAAATTGTTGTACATTTTTAGAAGAGACAACAGTTATCAGAGTTATTAGTTAAAGTATCTACATACTTTAATTATTACTTTAATGTAATATTAAAAAATATAAATTACACGTATATTAAAAATATACAATATATTTTTAGTTATTGCATGTTTGCTTAGAAACAAAAAATTAAATAACTTCTGTTTTCTCATATTTTTTTTCTGTGCTGACAGTGATATTTTCCTTTTTCGTTAATGTAGAACTAATAGGTAACCAATTAATATGTCATTTTATCATTTTATCAATTGACAGTTTCTCTCTCTCAAGTTGAATTTTTAGATTTATTTGTAATTTTTTTCTCTAATGTAGCGAAGCATATCGATATAGTAATTGCATTTTTAAAGAAAATTAGTTATTACTTTGAGTTTAGTTCATCAGACGGAATTGACGTTTGATATTTTTCACGTATGCACTTTTTCCAAGAGCGAAAAAGCTTGTAATCATCTGTCATCGCAATTTAGCTCGTCGTGCATACGTCATTCTCGTAGTTAATTGCAATTGATCGATCCAGCATGTATGTAGTTTTACTCTCTCAACGTTCGGCTACAATTCGGCCAAAGGATCGGTAAACACGTACGCATTTCGACAAATACATTGCTATATGTCGACGAGTACCATAAGTCTGCCACCAATGATCGATCTTAATTTCATTAGCTTGTAGCTCGACTTCTCATATGGGACGTTTTTTTAGCTTTTACATTTTTTACTCCATTATATGTAGTACTTACAATATTTCTACATTTCGCGCATCTGATCATAAACGATCTCTCCAAGTTGATGGATGATCTGAGCGTCACTCTAGATTACAGCCTGACGTTTTTGAAGCTGATGAGTTTCTGTCGGCGCGTCGTGATCTCTAGATTGCATTATCGAAAACAAATGAGATCGATTGCATATATTCTCGGATACCTTGGATGCGATGAAAACCTAGCCATGGTTTTGCATCCACGTGTGTGATGACGAGAAAGGTAAATCTGATGCATAGATATTTCGAAGCTATACAGGGTTTGTCCGGAAAGTAATGCGTCGCATTTTTTTAAAAAAGAATTTATTGATCGCATAGGTAAAACACTTAAAATTGTTCGAAGTATGACCCTTCTGCGTCAATACATTTTTGCCAACGCGATTTCCATGCGTCATAAGATTTCTGGAACTCCTTGACTGGGATGCTGTTCAGGGAGGCCGTCGAAGTAGCTTGTACGTTGTCAACCGACTCGAGCTGTTGTCCTTTGAGCTCCCTTTTTCAGCCGAGGAAATAAAAAAAAGTCCGCCGGGGCAAGTCGGGACTGTAGGGCGGCTGCGGCACCGTTGCCACACCGATCCGGGTCAGGTAGGCCGTAATATAACTTATCGCATAGCGTTGCTCTATCGTTCTCTCCATCACAAGTTCGACGCGACCACTAAGCAGAGGTTCACAGAATAAGCCGTCCTAACCCTCCAAGCGCATGGAAACAATTGAGCGACCTACCGTTGGAAAGCTAAGGGTACCCCCTTCCTCCCCAACCGGTCCCATCGCTCTGCGATGTATAGTCGCGTCACAAAAAAAATGCGAACGCATTACTTTCCGGACAAACCCTGTATAATAATCCTGAAATTTGTGCATTATCTTCTACTTAAGGGGTAACTATTTGAGCTATCGCACAATTTCCGCCGGTGGAGAGCTCTGAGAGTTTCCGGTGCAAATGCAGTTTCCGTTCGACTATGCCACAAACTCGCCGATCTTCGAGTTTATTCTTCTGAGATATTTCCTTCATGTTCGAGAGACTGTATCGCGATCTTGAACTCTCTGATTCTGCCACTGGTAAGTGAAAGAGAATATGAAACTGTTTAACATCATTAAATAATTATTTTCACGAATCAAGCTTCAAACATATTGTAAAATAAGAGCTCTATGCAATACTGTTTTATTAAATTTCGTATTTTTTTAAAGCCTTTCTCTTAGTTTTCTTTCTTCGAAAGACTCACGTGAACGACCACATCAATATATATGCCAGGAATTGAAAGAAAATTCTCCACGAGAAAATCTTATCTATTGGCTACAAGATTGCTTATCAAAAGGCATCAGAAAATCTTTATCCAACAATATCGATAACTTTTTTTTTTCTTCGTTGCACTGATACAATTTGTATGGAATATATAGTTATCTGCGTTATTGGATTTATGATCATAATAGTGAATAAAGTTATTTCGCTTTCAGTAAAAAAACAAAGAGTTTCTTCAAAAAAACAATTTGCTTAAAAATATCAATTATTTCATTAAATTAGGTTTGACATTGTTATTTTATTTTTGATTGTCTCAAACTACTCCAAATAAAAATAATAAAATGATTTACATGAAATAATTCTGAAAAGAAAATGAGAGGAGAAATCTTATCTATTTATTAGTAATATTACATTTTAATAAAGAATATTGTGTTTATTTCTGTTCTTGCAATCTTGAATATAATATAACCGTAAAACATTACACCAATAATTAGGAGTATAATGCACGATATTAAGATTTGCTTTATTAATATAATTTAACATATGCATTCTGCAAATCCGAAATATTAATCAAATCTGTTTTTCCAAATATCGTCTATAATATTAAATTTTAATAATTTTAATAAATCCCATTTGCCTCCCTTCTGAATAAAAAGCGTAGGCGAGAAAAATATCGAAGCAAGTCATTGAATCGGAAATCAAATTCGAGTCTTTTTCTTGCCGGGCTTTTATATAACTGAACTATTCAAACTCCACCTCGATATTTCTCATTTGCCTTCAAAGATATATTCGTAATAACGCCAAAGTGTACTAACAGTTAAAAAATTAATAAGATATTAATTTAAAAATCAAATTTAAATTTCAATGAACTAATAAAAGTCAAACATGGTAGTGATTTCAATAAATTATTACTTCACTTATAATTGCCTCGAAATTATTCCAAAATAATAACAAAATTATTTAGACAGAGCAATTTCAAAAAGAGAGAAAAAAAATTTGAAAAGAATAATAAGTTATATTGTTCATTTGTTTTAACATATGGTCTTGAATATAGAACATTAAATCATCATTAAGAACATAATTACGCACAATATTAGAATTTGCTTTATTAATGTAATTTAACATATCATTGTGTAGACTTTAGACACGAAATAATCAATTATCATGTATATTGTAATGTTATAAGCTTTTATTTTCTGTTTTGTTGGCAAATAATTTTGATTTCTAAGTTTAACACAATCCTTTTGCTCTAGCAGCATTTTATATGTGTCTCTGTAATATAAATAAAAATTAATTTTACTAAAAGTTAATAAATGTTAGCTTTAAAATTTAATATTAAAGCTGTATTTCTTGTATATATATTGCATTTTTCTGCATTCAGCGCGATGTATTTATTGTCGTATATTATTTAATTCACAGTTCCATTTCTTCCTCCGAGTATAACAGATCTACCAACAAACAATTGATGACAGCTGGAAAAGATCTAAATCTAATTTTAAAAAGCTTTACAACTGCAAAATTCTTGACATCACATAATTAAAACAAATGTTTATTATAAGACACATCGATATAAATTCAATAATTATGAATATTATAAATATGTTAAATGTCTTAGAAAATATACTTAATATGTATATATATACATATGTATATAATATATGTATATACATATATATATATAATATTAATGAG